TGAGAACCAGAAATGTTCTAATATTTGGTTGTTCTGTGCTTTGAAAAGATTTGCAATCCTTGAATGATGTGACTAAAAATCTGATGAGAAATTCTATTCAGACTGAAAGGAAACAAAAGTACACCACTAATTGGTGGGAATAAAATTGTACTAAGGCAGTGAACATTTGGGGTTAATAGTAGAAGAAAAAGAATAATGAAGACATATACTGTTCATCAGTTTAAGTAAAATACATAAGTTGTAAATCTCAGACTACTGAAATACAGACATTCTAATTTACTATTTTTGGTAGCACACAAAGAGGACATCAAAAGGCAGGACCATACCCCATCTGAGATATGCTCTTGTTGGACAGCAGCACTATTTATATTTATAAAAATGCAACTGCCGATAAACATCACTTTGAGAAGATCAGGTTCCAAAGATGAAGTTTTTGTGATTCTGCTGACAAACAGCTGTCAAAGACCCTAAGTTTGGCTGGAAAAAATTCCAGGACATCATACAAATGCACAATTGTGCTATCTCTGTTCTCAGTCCACAGCCACAGTGGAAGCGCCACTGGTCTGGCTTCACCAACCACAGCACCATCGAGAGCCAGTTCTCCTGCAGGCACAGCCAGCCTGTATGTCGCCAGGACAGCGACTCTGCCTCAACACGGCAGAGGGAGGCCAGGTCCACATCTAGTCAGCAAGGGGGACAAAAGTGAAGGCTAGGAGAAGCTATTCAATAATTCTGGAAAACCCCACCCAGGATCCCTTCGTATGGATCTGGCAGTCAAAGAATGGTGCCAAACAAATGCCTCTGGCCACAGAATACATTTCCTAGCACATCACAGACCTGCAGCAGCATCGATTCTGTGCACTGTGTCCGAAAGGGAAAGTTCTTAGGGGTTGTGTTCCAGCATATCTCAAGGACTAATTAAATCCTCATTACTACCTTCTAATTATTCAAATACTGTGGGATTATGCTCAGGAAGTCCCTGCTGGCACACTAGATGAAAAGGGTTAAACAATCTATGTTGATTTTGAGAATCCAGATCTAGTTCAGACCTTCAGAAAGCCACCAGCATTAACATGAATATTTAACAAGACACTACTGTGAAAATTAAAAGGGAATTCAATTAAAAGGTTTTCGAAAAATTAATTCTGACCTCTCTACATCTGTCCAAATAAATAAGTCTTCTTTCAGCGTTTTCACCTAATTGCTAATCCAATAAACCAGAAGGGCAGCTGGTAGTTTCATTAAGCTTAACACACTATAGGGGTTAAAAATGTGATCACTTTAATGTTAATAATTATTATACTTATTTATCCGCTCAGATGACTACTCCATATTCCTTCCACGCCCTCTTGTAAAACAGAGCAACACATTAATAAGCTGTTTCATACTGCTCTTTTTGAATTTTTAAGACACGCATGTTAAAAGATTAAGAAACAAGGATAAAACTAATCCACACTTGCTAGGTACAATTTTCCTGTAAAATCTATTTTAATATTTTAGGGCTACCCTAACTGTTCCTCTAATCTTAGGTAGCCTTATTTATATTACTCCATTTTTTGGTGAGGTGATTTAATAATTCTGAACACTGTTATATGAGGTCTATAGAGAGAAGATTTGGTTTAAAATAAAAATCAATGGCAAATATGTCACTACTGAACATTAAACTGAAGTTTGGGCCTTTCTTTCTTTCTTTCTTTTTTGAATTTATATCGGCAATAAAGTAAAAACCAAAGAATCTGAACTAATTTTCTTTATTCAATTAGTAAAAAGGTCCAACAGCGAAGCATCAAATCAAGTTTATATTGGAAAATGGGTGAAAACAGAGGAAATGACACTGTGTGAGAGAATAAAGAGGCTAAGAGACTTTGCCTTTCTCCCCGTTGGTAACCTACAGTGCCACGTTCATATTTATGCACAAATACCTGTACAGATGGAAACAAAGCTGTAGAAACCCAGGGCTATTTTCGTCTGTGTTAATGTGGGGAGATGGATTTGTCACTGTCTTTTGACAAAATTCCATACAGAACTATCAAGCACAAAAGGGTAATGAACCAGAGATGGGTTGGGGTGGGCACTGCCCTACCTTGCCAGGGTGGTTCCCATGCCCAGGGCAGCCTGAGGTTTATAAAACTCTCTTCCTGCACAGGGACACAGGCATCATGTGGGAAGGAAGGACAGCAGAGCAGGAGCTGGCCTTCTGCACCTGGAAGGACCTGGCTCCAGGGAGGTGGTGTGGGTGGTGGTGTCAGTGCTGCCGCACCTCAGGAGGACTCTGGGCAGGAACAAGAAGGGGGCACTCCACATAGGAATAGCTGTGCCAGCTCTCCCTTTGCACACACCATGAAAGGAAACGTCCTCCTGGACACATTAAAGAAAATGGGAACGCATGGAGTCTCCCTGACATCTTCGTCTTGTTGAAATCAGCTCTGTTCTTACCTGATCTATCAGAGTCGATGGTTGCTGAGAAAAAATACTTTTGAAAATAGATCCTAAATCATTGTTGTATTATTTCCTGCTTTTTTCTTATTACTTCTTTGAGAGGGACATATATCAAATATAAGGTTATAAATGAAATTAAACTGCTTTTCAGTAAAGAATCAATGATAGGGAATGTTCTAGAAGGGTATTCTACGACCTTCTTTTATACTGTCCATTGTTGGTGCACAACAAATGATGGAAAAGCAAAAATGAATTTTTACCATCATAGCAAATGTTATTAGGAGCTGACATCTCTTCCTAAATTTGAACAAACAATAAAGTCATTTTCTTTTGATCCTTGCTGTCCAATTTTGAGAAAATTTAACTCATGTATGGCAACGCATCATTTAACACAGTAGTCATTTTAAGAAATGAAGTTTTGCTTTTTAGGAGGTTATCTAACCAATAAAAGCACAAAAGAGAATGCAAATAGTGTCTCTAGCACAATCTTTCAGAAAAGGTTTAGGGAATATGTGCCCCCTCGCCAAAAAAAAAGTCAATTCAGATTTAGCATCTAAGGCAACCAGAGGAAAACGTTAATAGATGTGGTAATTTTCCATGTTGTTACATTAACCAGGCTTCCTCATTGTCATCCTGACCTTCATACTTGCTTCCCCACATTTCCTAATCTTAACACCTATCAGTTGCCAGGGTTGAGGAGATTTGACAGAATTTCTCTTTGGTTTCCTAAGTTCTACAGTGCAGGGATCCCACATAAGGGGCACTTACCCTGTGACATGTGATATCAACAGACTTGTGCCAGTATAAGTGCTGCCACAGGCCCTTGTTGAGAATTAGTGAGGTGACAGCCATCTCCAGATTGGTTCTAGACCCGGCCCACAGGTGCTCCATGCAGGGCTTCCTCTACCCCATCCTGTCCCCACCGCCGTGCACAGAAGGTCAGCCCCCCCACATACACAGAGCAGCAAGCTCCCCACAAGTATGGCACCGGAGCATGCTCTGTCCAGGGATGTCTGTAAGGTCTTCAGGATGATGGGGCCCAAGGAGGAGCTTACACAGATGAGCAATCTTAGAAGACCTGGCTAGAGCGACATACAGCACGCCGAGAGCGCACAGAAACAAATGCTCAGGTTCGCACCATGATGAGGCCCGTTAAAGACTGTGGAGTTGCAGGCAGCGCTTCTCCAGGTGCCCCTTAGCCCTGTGCATCATAGTACCTGGAGCTTGTCAGAAATGCAGATTTTAAGTGTCTTCATTAGAAATCTGTGGTGGGCCAGCAATGGGTTTTAAGTCCTGCAACAACTCTCAAGCACACTAAAGTTTGAGAACCATTAACTAGTCCATGATTAAAACACCCTGTATTATCTTCATAAGGGAATTAAAGTATTAACTACACCTTAAACTATAATAAAAACGCTAATAAGTAAAGGTATTAGGAAATGAAAAATTCACTTTATTCCACTAAACATTCAACACAAATGACACATAGATAAGTCTAATCCATCTTTTTAATGGCATTGCTTTCTAAATTATGTGCCACTGAATTTTTAATATGTAAAATAACTTAAACCTCATAAGTCTAATTAGCAGCAAATCATCATCTCTTCAGTCCTTACAGAAATAATCACAATGTCAGGGCTCAAGCCGTCCTCTAGACATCAGCTACCTAGCCAGCCGGCACCTCCTGGCCTCCAGGACCACATGGAACAAAGTGGCATCTCCTGTGGAACAGGGTGGACAGGTGGACAAGCTTGACCCACAGGCTGTGGGAAGTGACTGGGAACAGCAACCCATGGTGACGTAAGCCCTGGTCTACACCAATCTGAATTAAAATCACCACCACCACCACCACCACCACCAAAGGAGCAGTGGCACAAAAGAATGCTGATTGGAGGAGGAGGACCACCGTGCAGGGGGGGGCAGAGGCACCACAGGCTGACACACAGCACTGAGTGAAGCACAGAGGTGGCAGATGTGGGTCGACATCAGTTTAGAGGCTTCAGGAAAAGCCCAGTCTAAGTAGACGCTGGGAGCGAGGAAACACGGGCAAACGTCGTCCTCAGTTTCTTCAACTGCACACTGAGCTTTCAGGTCTGCTCCAGTTAGAAGATCTTACAATTTTATATGATAAGTTGAAATATGAGTTTAAAATATTATCATTAAGTCTATTGGAACAAGTGACTAGTCAGGTCAGCACGTGTGCTTGAGTGCACGTGTGCTCACACACTTCACTTTACTAGGACTGACGTCCACATTGAGCCACTCCTAGTTATCGCACCCAGCTGGACTAAGCAGACTACAATCAAACACAGACTACACTTCATGGTGTTTTGTGGACACACTGATTCGTTGGGCCTTGAATTACACTTTGGTAACATGTAATCCAATCTGCAAGAAAGAATCCCTTCTCCCCAAATTTGTTGTTACTTATAGAGTTCTGTTTATCTGATAAGCATCCTTTTAAAAAATTATCTGTAAGAAGACAAATGGGTGAGAAAACTCATATGAGCCTTCTCTACTCAAAGCATGATCAGTGCATAAGATGTGAACTGCAGACTCACCTCTTTCCTGTGGCATTGGTGACTGGCTCAAGGCAGGATGGGAACTGGATTCTGACTGGCTCCCAGGTGGCTGAGGAGGCATCTGACTGCCTGTAAAACACAGGAGGGAAAGTGGGGATGGGGGGCACCATTTGCGTTAATACTGCAATTGTGCCAAAACAAAAAAAACAAAAACAAAAAAAAAAAACACCACACACACAAAAAACCCCCGAAAAACAAGACACAGATACATATATTTCTTTCTTTCTTTTTTTTTTAAAGGTGGCCACTCTTTTTTTTTTTTAAAGAGAGAGAGAATTTTAATATTTATTTCTTAGCCTTCGGTGGACACAACATCTTTTTATGTGGTGCTGAGGATCGAACCCAGGCCGCACCGCCTGAGCCACATCCCCAGCCCCAGATACATACATTTCTTATGGTCACACAAGGCATGGCCCACATAGAAAAAGACACAGCTGAATAGAATGTAATATTTCGTTTGTTTCCTGAAAAATGAAGAGGAAACATGATAAAGTTCTCACCAAAAAGACCTGCTAAAAGTTCAGTTTGTTACTGAATAAGCCCCCAAACTCATGGATCAATCAACCTGTAGTTGAAGTAGCTTGACATACACTCCCTACATATTCAACAAAATTCAAAACAGTGAAGCCAAATAGGTAAGCAGGTGTGTAGAATGACCAACAATTACTCATTGGTAATATCCAACTAATGCAGTAATAGTAACAGATTCCTAAAAAGTTTTGTAATCAACCCGAGAGTCAAACTCAGAAGACCTCCATTAAGAAACATAAAAAATGGTACTACACAATGGAATATGTTATTACTAAATAAAGGAATATTATTATGCATCTCCTTTGATCTTTATTGCTTAAACAGTAACAGCATCTATGTAACTTTCAATGAGTTTGGCTTTTTCCTATATCAACGTGGGCTCCCTGGGACGGGAATCTTGTCTTTCACTCCTTTAGTCCCTCCCTTAGCATAACGAATCTCTGAATGTGAACTAGAGAAAAACACACTTTTTTACTGACAAAGGAAAATGTACTTGTTTCACTGATAAAGGAGGGAGAGTACATCACAAGGTGGGAGACAGGATGCAGAAACGCAGGCACCACAAGGCAGGGGGTCCCCTCAGTTCCCTTTCTGGCTCAGAGGGTTAGATGCATTTCTAATACTAAAATACTAGGACTAAGAAGAATGTTGAATTCAGCACAACCCGAAGGGCATGCTCTGCTCTCTCCCCTTGCTACCACAGGTGGGAGCGAGAAGTACACACAAACGTGTCTCTCTGTATACCCTCTGGAATAGTCATGTGACAGGGCCAGCTCAACCTGACTGCTTTGCTCCTCTATGTCCTACTCTTCCATAGTTATATACGCTGCTAAAAAGAATCACAACTGTGCAGAGGAGGCAATCAATGCCTGAAGACCACCTCTGATTCTCCCCAGTGGAGGCCATGGCGCAGGCCTGGGGATTTGTGATGAACAAGTGTCGTGTCTTCCATTTTTACAGCGTGGTGTCTCAGGCCTGGAGTCTCTGGGGACTGCCACTCATGTCTCACTCTAATAACAGTTGTTATCTGACAGCCAGAGAGGCAGGAAGATAATTTTCAGTTTAGATAATAGGTATAAATAGCTGTTAAAAGTATCACTGTAAAACAATTAAATTGTTTTCTCAAATTTTATGTTGGGTTAGGCATCTCACTTTCAGAGGTGGACATAAGCCTTAAGGCTGTACTCCTGAGTGGTCCTGGGTGTTCCACGCTGCGCTCGTTCTCAGATAAAGCCAAAGCCAAACACCTGAGTTGACAGACACAGAGAAACAGGTGCCAGAAACAGGTGCCATGAGACATGAGCTCTTCCATGAGTCCCCTCACTAGCAGCTGAAAGTCCTGACAAATGGCACAGAATCTACTTGACATTGGTTTGTCTTAGACTTTGTAGTAAATTAGTATTAATACCAACTAACTAGATATAAAGTAAAAACTAAATTCTGGACCAAAACAAATTTCAAGAGCAAGTTACTGGCTACAGATCTACAAAAGCTGCTGTGTCCACAGCAGGGTCAAACCATTCCGATGAAATTCCCTGCAGTCACAATCTACAGTCCACTTAGAAATTTAAAGCACTCTGCAACCAAACTCGGACTTTTTAAGTTTCCCTAGGGAATCAGCTGAGGCAGGACAGTTAAGTGCTTACATTATAACGATCACTTCTGCATGACAGGCTGGATTCATAGACTCAGGACAGTAAAAACAAACAGTAATTCTGTGTTAACACAGGGCACCAGGCTTACGTTGTGCCTGCCCGAGGCGCTGCTCCTTCCATACAATATATCAAGTGAAAAATAAAAAAGGCTGTAAGAAGCCCATCTCAAGACTCATAAAATACTGCCTCGGCCAAGCACCACTCACGGTTGTTTGGTGCAATTCTGAGAGTGATTCCCTTCAGAACATGGAGAAAAACCATGTATTAAATCCATCCTGTTGAAAAATAAACACGAACCTTTGGGTGTTAAGGATAGATATTTCCAGGTCATTTAAAATTCCTCATTTTCTTTGATCTCTCTTTTCTCATAGTTCCTTAATTACGAGGTAACTACAGTTACTAGGAGATAATTCATCCTCCAAGAGTGTTATACAGCAGGCGCTAACTCAGAAAATGGGGCTGTGAAAGGTGATATAGGAGACTCACTCATGTCCATGGTTCATACAAAGCAGAGAATTCAGATCCCTTCAAACCAGCCGAATCAAGTAAACACCTTCTGAACAACGGATTTCTGTATGGCAGGTCAGTGACAAATTCAACCTTTCAAAGAAAGTTTGGTAGTTGATTTTAAGAGAGAATATGGCCATGTCAAGTGAACAAACCAACTTTATGCGGTTCTTAAACATTCAAACTGAGTTTCTTTTGACATGTACCCTGAACTCCCCTTGTCTGTGATGATGATGACATGATGAAGTAAAATACTGCCAGAAGAATTACTGTGAACTAGGAAATCCCACCATCTCACACCTGACTTTACTTTCCAATGACCATGTATGCATTACTATGCAAAATCTTCATGTGACAAGTAAAGGAAGCATCAATAGTTACCTGAATTTCTACTTTTGCTGAGTTATAATGCTCATCCTAAATCTATGTTGATTTAAAAAACAAATGAACAAGTCCATTTATTTTTTATTAATTTTAGATTTAGAAAAAATTGTGAAGATTATCCAACAGCCCAACAGCCCACCGCCCCCTATGGAAATATCTTATATAACCATGATACGATTATCAAGATGGGAAGTTAGTATCTACAGAATTTATTTGGAGTTTGTTGACTTTTCCAGCAAACATCCTTTTTTCTGGGATCATTGTGCCCTGCATTTAGTTATTTCTCCCATGTCCTCTAGCCTATAAAAGTCCTCCTGTCTTTTCTTATGTTCTATGACCTGGCAACTTTTGAAGAGTACTCCTGAGTTACTTTGTAGAACGCTACCCAATCTGGCTTGGGCTGATCTATTTTCATCACTGAAATACATTCTGGGACATGTTCAACAAAAATACCACACTCTTTAGCTGGTTCTAAGGAGGTCTCAGATGCTGGCTGGCCCACTTCTGGTGATGTGGACCTTGACTACTGGGTTAGGCTGAAATCTACTTTAAAGTTCCTTGTTTCCTCTTTGCAGCTAATAAATGTTAGGGGAGAAATGTGAGACCATGCAAATCCTGCATCTCCTCAAACTTTTACAAGCCAATATTTGCAACTGGTAGAAAAAAATCTTGTTTAGGCATTTACTACGGAGGTGTGTGCTCCTAGTAATTCTGTTTCCCTTTTTCCTTCTACATTCATTAATTGGAATTCTATTCTGAGGAACAGAATCACTGTGTCCTCATTTATTTACTAGACCATTTATGTATATCCAAGTGAACTCATGGTGGCAGATATGTCCCAGGAGGGAGGACTTCCAATGAGTCACACTTGTGTAATTCCCCTCTTTTACTGAGGGCAGAACCTGACTTGGCTTCTAACCAAAAAACATGGCAAAAGGATGGACTGCCACTCCTGGAATATTGATGCCTTACGAACAGCTTCATGAAGAAGTGAAGGGATTCTGCAGAGGTAACTGAGATTTCTGATCAGCTGACAGGCTGGGCCTGACTTCAACAGAGGGCTTAGACCTTCTAGAAAGTAAGCTTCTAAGATGTGAGCTGAGTCACCAGACGAGGACAGGAGTTCCACACAATAGGGGCCTCACTCCTTGCTATAGTTTGGATGTGGCATGTCCTCCAAAGAAAGGCCCACGTGGTGAAGTCCTGGCTCCCAGCTTGGCCCTGTTGGGAGGTGGGGTACCTGTAGGAGGCAGGGCATAGTGGGAAGTCGTGGTCATTGGGGATACCTATGAAGGGGACTGTGAGACATCAGTCCGTAGTTCGTTCGTTCTTTTTTTTTTTTTCCTTCCCAGTTGCCATGAGGTGAGCAGCTTGTTCCACCACATGCTACCACCACACTGGGTTGCCTCACTATGGGCCCAAAGCAAGGGACCAACTATCACAGACTGAAGACCGAAAGCTGTGAGTCAAAATAAACCTTTTACTCAGGTGATTTATCTCAGGTATTTGTTACAGTAATGGAAAGCTAATACACTCCTACAACCTCAAGGAAGTGACTACTGCTACAATCTGGAAGAAACTGAAGCAGATTCTTCCCCAGCTGAGTGTCCAGATTAGAACACTGACCATGAGAAGACTTTGAGTATAGCCCTGTGAGATCCTGAGCAGAAGACGGAGTTATGAAGCTGTGCCTGGACTCCTGACCCTAGGAACTGAGTGCTGTTTTAAGCTGCTAACTTTTAACAGTCTGTTACACAGTAGCAGAAAACTAATAAATGGATGGATTTATTTTATATTATGGGTAAAACAAATAAACAAAATCAAACCCAGGACTATCATTATTTTGTTGCTCCAACTGTTTTGGCTTTGGCCATTAGAAGCTCCTTCCAGTTGATTCCTGAGTCCTGTTGACAAGCCTCCCTTGCTTCATTGAGCATTTTCTTCCATCTTAGAAACACCAGATGCTCCAGGCTCATCTTCTATTTGTCCTGC